TTGTTCAGATTGCGGTGGTTCCTTTTCCGTTGTATCAGGTTCTGGCTCCGTTTTACCCTTCTCAAGAGGCATATGATAACGTTGCATACGCTCAAGTTCCCTTGCTTTCTCATGCTCCTTTGCCAAGTGCAGCAACTGTTTCTTATGAGCTCTTTCATGTTTTTCTTTTTCTGTTAAACTATAAAATGTAAAATAACTTATTAGATCAATAATTATATTTTAAAAATATTAATTATATACATAGCTCATCCATAAAATTACATGTTTTCATCAAATAAATATTCGTCATCAAGAATATCAGCTTCTAATTCTGCAACTTTGTCCTCTTTACGTTTCTCTAAGTATTTCCTACGAGACTCGATTCTCAATTTTGGTATCAGTTTATCTTTCATATCAGTCTCTATAATTTTAAGTCTCTTTGCTGCTTCGGCTGCAGATAATAACAAGCAATAAGTAACATCTTTTAAAATATTAAACATTCATAGATATTCTTTTGACAACTTACCAGCGCCGGATCCAGGGAGCGTAGCAACATTACGTCTTTTACTTTCATCTTTGGCTCTGAGACGACTAGCAAAGCTATCTCTTTCCTTAATATCCTTTTTGCGACGTTCTTCTTCACTGTCTGTATCCTCACTCGAGGATTCTTCTCGTCTATATTTACTCATTTTGGAAAGCATATCGTAGGTTATGTCCACACTTTTCTTTTCACTCCAAACTTTGGAATCGGAAAATGTAGCGATACTATCGATACGTATAATCAAAAGTAGACAGTAGAGTAGTAGTGTACAATAGGCACAATAAGTACTTAAAAAATATTAGTTTTTACGGTACTAGAGAGAAATCTGAGAAAGGCCAACCTTTTTCCTATTACTGTCGAAAGTCGAAATCACCCGTACATTAACGCCAATACATCCATTTTCAGTTTAGGAACTACGTGATTACATATATTTTCTAACACTATCGACAAAATTATATCATCAAAAGTAAATATGATGTGGTTCGTCTCTGTACTAAATCCTCAGACTAAAAGCGTGCCGATTATCCATAGGAGGAATATATAATAATTTAAAATAGGATCTCAAATGAAAAAATTTTAATTTCGCATCTTCTGCATATGTAAATAAAAGTTGTTGAATTTTAATAAATGAAATTGAAAATTCAAACAAGTTAATTAATTAGTGAATTTTGTCTTACAATATCTTATAAAATTACGAAATTATTTTATGCAGTTTCTTCGTGCAAATTTTCAACTCGTTTTTATCAAATATAATTACTAGTATGCATGTACAGCTGATTTTTTGGTATCAGAAATAAATGTGATGCGAGTCCTGTTAAATCGCAGTACTATAAATCACGCTAAATTATTTTAAAAAGTATAATATAAATTCTAATCTGTAAATCATAAACAAAATAAAACATTTTTTTAATATAATTTCTAATCCATATTCCCAAGCATATTCAAAATTTTGAATAAGAAAGCAGTTTTTTTCAATCCAATTGCATCCATTTGAATCTAATTGAACCTAATTGAATCCAATTAAATAAAAAAAAAGTATTCGCTATTTAAAATACGCATTCGAATAGAAAAAAATTTCAATTCATTTTAATCCATTCTCGTTTGTTGGGTATTGAATTAGTAAGTAAAATTTATATTAATTTTATATCTAATTCTTAAAATATCTGATACTTTTTTGTGTAATATAGAATTCGGCACTAGTATGCAAATAATTCGTTCGATGTTTAGATGCGTTCCAATGTCCAAATTTTATTTTTAAAGTATCGTGAGTATAATGCTCGATAAAATAATTGTTACGAATTATTTAAAATAAAAAATATAAAATAAGTTCCAGAAACTTATTTAAAATATTAAATAAGAAATAAATCAGAAGTGTTGTTGTTTAAAATAATGAATACTAAATAAATTTTTTATTTTAGAATAAGATGTGAATCCTGAGAATTTAGTACAGAGACGAACCACATCTACTTTCGACGATGCGATTTTATCGATAGTGTCAAAAAATATATGTATCACGTAGTTCCCAAACTGAAAATCGATGTACTAGCGGTAGTGTACGGATGATTTTAACAGGAAGAAGGCCGACATGGTCTTTCTCAGGTTTCTCTCTGACGATACTAACATTTTATTCTTTTCTGTTAATTAACCGATTGGTAGGCATTTGTGGCGCGGCTTACGGAACTTAGTAAACATTGATCCAATTTTATTACGCCGTCTATTCAAATGATTCAGGATATTTAAATGCATAATAGCGCCGTACAGCATGCCGCTCTGTGAGAAGTTTATAATTTCCCATTGTCGATAAAATATTTATTTTCTTTGTGAGTCTTAATCGTGTTCACAATGCTAGAAATCTCTCTAAGACGAAAAAACAATTAAACAATCACATTGACCAATTGGTGAAATGATTTAATTAATATAATAAAATTTTAGTGATTTGATAATTCTTTCTCCGACTCGAAGACTTGTAACTACAGTCCATAAAAATAAAGGTTGCTATGTAGTTGACATCCATTTTCTTAGATGGCGCTAATGCGCGGAAACATTTCGCTATTACAAGAAAAAGGCGGCATAAGTGCAAATAAGTGGCACCATTTTCTTTTCTCTATTAAATCGCAAAAATAATAATACAAATCTGAAGATTCGATTCTTTTTTCCATATTGCAACTTTCTATTTTAGAAAGGTAGAATATATATTGCGTTTATATATAAAGTACGAAATGTATATACATATAATACAGTATATCTTCATATGCTTTTGAGTTTTTCATGAGTATTTTCTATACAGAAGCTGTGCGTTTCGTGGATCATCTGCAGATGTCCAGATTCATTTATTAGAGTGCATATCCGGTAAAAAAATTTTCATGCATGAATATGTATAAATATTTATAAACATGCATAATCATATATGAAATATGTTTATTATACATGTTCATACATCTCTCTTTTCCTGATGAAAATAAAAATCGGAGTGTAAGTCAAATGTAATGAGAGAGTAACAAAAGCGTAAATGAAATTTCTAGAAGGCGAAAATTGAAACAATGGAATGTAAAAGAAGCATTTACATTTTGATGTTTCAATGTTCGCCTTCTGGAAGTTATGCTTCTGTTACTCTCATTACATCCGATTTACGTTCCGATTTTTACTTTCATCAGGGTTTTTTTGTAAAATTATTTTTTAGTGTAAGAAATATTATTAATAATGTGAAAACATTAAAAATAATTAAAAGAGTAATTTTCACACTATTTGTTTTAGAAAAAAATCAAGTTTGAAAAATGTAGAAAAATTACTTATGTATAATTATACATATACAAAATTATGCATAATTGTATATTAGCAATTTTTTTTTATATTTCTTCAAAGTTGTTTTTTTCTAAAATGGACATTGCAAAAATTAACCCTTTAATTATTTTTTATGTTTTCACATTACTATTATTATTTCTATTGCGTTTTAAAAAGTAATTTTACAAAAGAAAGAGAGATGTATGAACATGTATGAACATATTTCATATATGATTGTACATGTTTATGAATATTTATGTATGTTTATACATATTTATACATATTCATACATGAAAAATTTTTTACATTTCACGTGAGCATTGCAATTCACTTCATTAGGTTGAAGAACAGTCTGATATCTGATGAAGTGAATTGCGATTTATTCATCACGAAACGTTAACATTCTAATAATAATGGATCTCACTAAGATAATCTGCGAAGCGTATAGTTTCTATATATATATAAATCTTTATATATTAGGTGTTGGAATTAATTCGTAGCGTTTTACAAGTGATGGGAAGTACTTTCATTAATGTATTTTTTAATGCTCATGTGAAATAAATAATATTCTTTCATTAAAAAACGCTACGAATTAATTCCAACACCTAATATATATATATATA